TTCAAAAATTGTTCTAATGTATAATAAATGTAAAAAATCGACTGAGAATATTTATTTCCAGGCTGAAATAAATAAAATATGGTCAATTGCATTAAAAGATGACAGATATATGTTAGAAACACAGTTTTAAATTCCTACAAGATAGTGCACTACCTCATAAAGATCAGTGCACAGAATCATAGTGAACGATCATTTTGGTCCAAAGACCATTAACCGCCCAACAGTTCGCATCTTAAGTCTTTAGACTATTCGATTTGGAATGAGGTATGTGAATGGATGAATTGGAGTAAAATGCAAATGGAAATTAAAAACGGTGAGTTATCCGAAATAATCTGTAACTGGCGATATTTAGTTTGACTGAAGTCATTTAAATCATGTTAAACCGCTTACAGTGAGCATGCGACAGATGAATGGCGACCGTATGTCGCTTGAGGAAAATGTATATGAAACAATTGTAGATTATGACATTTTGAACTGATACTTTTTGATCATGTTTAATAATAAACAATACACATCGGTAGTGAAACTGACATGAAAAAAAAGAATTTGTTTTGTGTGACATCGATTTGCTATGAACCGGAGGAAAGGTAAATAATCTTTTTTCTTGTACTGTAATTGCGTACGACAAAGAAAACATTGTTCTCCTATAATGTGATCAACGGAAAGTGTGTCAAAAAGTCGGTATAAGGTAAAAGGGAAAGGAGAGAAAGAAGAAGTGTCTGATACGTATTCCAAAATTTAGAATATTATTGAAATTTGACATATTTTATAAAAAGAAATACCTGAAATTTCGAGCACATTTTAAAGAATTACTTCCAAGCATTTATATTAGATCATATAAAAGAATTATTTTTGTTTGAATAATCACTTTTACGTTATACTTTAATTGGTAACTGGTATTTTGGTAAATAAGCCGTATATTAGAAAGATCACATAAAGAATAGCTATAATACTTGAAAAATGTCAACTGAGAGCTCGAAAATCATCGTAGAAAAACAGAGCAGTATGAAGAACTGTTATAAAGAAAAGGTGTGTTACCGCCAAAGTTTATCACAAGATAAAGTTTTTTTGGTAATTTATAATATTTTTCCAATGTAATTATTGAATTTGTTTTTTTTCCTATTATTTTTGTGCCAAAAGCCCTTCCCCACACGAAAGTATTAAAATGGGTTGCTTTACAGAGGCCTATACCCTGTATGCTACTGTGTCTTCTCTATCACTTAATTCGACATCATCTATGAGAGTATCTTAATAAGAAATAAAATGTTGTTGTTCTTCTCTAACTTACACAGACATAAATCAACTGGCTGAACGAGATCATGAAAACGTCTAAACAAGTAATAGTCATTAATCATTCGGCACCTTTACGAACTTTATGGGCATATAAATGCGCCGTTGTACCGTCATCACATATGAGTTGAAAAAAAACAAGAGATTGATCTCATAATGTGGAATTTTTTAGCACTAATAATGCTGATACTGAACGGAATTCATTGTAAGCAGCCTACCGCTTATCGTTGCGTTGGCAAATGTGAATTCTCGTTAGCGTTCGATACGTCGTTTCAATTACCTGACAGTTGTGGGACCGGCGAACAGAATCCCGTGTGTGGATTTAACACTTTGATCAACGAACGATTGATTTTCAATTTCTTTCGTATGCCAACGAAACAGTCCTGCCTCCGCTGATCACCGACTTACTCATTTATCGTGTGGACATGACAATGTATCCGGCTATTTCGATGAATGTCGCATTTATTTACAGCTGTCTGACAGTAGATTACTGTGATCTATCTGTTGCTAAACAATTTATCAGCAATCGGACTGTGTATGAGGTCGCTTCAATCGTTCCGTTGCACTTTTGTTTAATTCCAACTCTAGCAACGATCAAAATCAAACAGTTTTGTGCTATAATGACACGGAATGCGCTGCCTGTCGAGTATATCAGTCCATTCTTGCAGATGCAACGCATCTGTCGTCATGCATTCCTTACTCATCGATCTTTAACAATTACTTATCAATTCGTACTGTCCACTACCATACAGTTGGTATTTGAGTATACTTGTAATATCGACTACTGTGATGATAACCAAATGGTCAATGACGTAAAACAGGTTGTTCAAGATTTGTTGATCACTTACGATCCGAACATGATTCATTCTACGCCCCTTCATCCTGAATCAAGTCTGTCTACGCAAACAGGTGTGTCGAAAATTTTATCGTCAGCAGCGTTAGCCGATACATCAACAACTACAATCACAACAACATCTATAAGCAGAGTTGCTATTATATCGCCAGCAAGTACATCAACAACCGCCATCACAAGAACATCTACAAGCAGGGTTGCTATTACAACAACTGGTCGTAGCTGTTGTCACCCCTCCTTTGATCATCAAAATACGTTTTATATTATTAGCGTATTGTTATGTTACTACGCCTTTCAGAGTTAGAGGAACCGAAAAACAATTATATGGTTTCGTCTGCCTTTGCTTCGGCGCACAGCAGTCGACCATGTTTATTGCCAATAAATAATAAATGTATATGGTTTTCCTGTAGGTTATTTGAGTGCATTTAAGAAGAAAAGAAAAAAACAGTGACAGCTTTTATCAAAAAGCAGTAGTTTAGTCAATTTGAATGTACAGAATAGTATAGACAGTTCTCTCTTCTCCTCGCTCTCTAGGATATGTATCAGACGTGCAATCCACGGGTTATGCCCTGCGGGACTCGCGGGGACCCGTGGCTACGGGCGGGTGGGGCAGCAAATTTCTAGAAACGCACGGGGCGACGGGGCACGAGTTTTGATTGACACACGGGCGGTCCTGGACGGGTAAGCACTGAAGTTCAACACACGAGGCGTGACCGAATTTGTCCTTCGCCCGCACAGGACCGTGAAAAGCATCAATAGATGTCGCTCTTCTAAAATTTCAATTTCCGCGAATATTAATTGGTCTCTTCCAAGCAATCGAAAAAAGAGCTCAAGCGTTCTTTGTGTCTTCCATATTTTCCATCATTTCAAACTCTTTCCACCAAGTGAAAAGATATTAAAATTCTTTTGATTTTTGAAAATCGATATTTTTGAAAGCTGCTTCTCGTTTACCAATCCCAATGATCAAAATAAATGATTTATCATCGGACGAATCTCCTGATGTTATTTTATCAACAGCAACTGGTCATTCATCGTCAGATGCTGGTGGTTCACTACCTGAATGCTCAATTGGTGATATAAAGTACGATACATCGAATATCAAATTTTTCTTGAAAAATCAACCAGGAAAATATACACTGGTGGATAATCCTAGAGTAAATACAGTTAAACCATCTGCATGTTGGACTCGATTTGCAGTTAAAGATAAAAATGATCGAAATATCACCATCGAAAAATTTGCGTGAATTTGTGTGATGAATGAAAAGTCTCACAGGTCACACGGGTGCGGGCGGGGCCCCTTAGCAAAACCCACGGGCGGGCGGGCCGGTTTAGAGGAAAATTCTACGGAGCACGGGCGGGGTTATTCAAATCAGTGGTCCACGGCAGTGGCGGCGGAACGATTGCAGTCTAGGGGAGGCTCAAAATCTTTTTTGCTCACCATATGTAAACCAAAGATGAGATCTATGATATTTTCTAAAATATTTGAGACTCCCCAAGCCTTCCTCTTCCTTGTCTAGGGGAGGCTTAGGCCTCCCCTAGCCTAATGGGTCCGCCGCCACTGATCCACGGGGACGGGTAGACGGAAGTCACGGGACGGGGCCCACGGGGCATGAAAATTCCTTGCCCGCACGTCTCTGATATGTATATAGATATCTACCCTTTCATGTGTGCAATTCCATTATATTAGAGTCAAGGCCGCAAATAATGGGAGGGTGCGCAGCTTCCGAATAATCGAAAAAGCTGTTGTTATTTTATCCATTATTCCTCGCACAAAATTTTTTTTATCAATTTTACACTACCTCAGAGCACGAATTTTGTTTTACACCTCTCTATTGTTCAACGTCTATTTGCAGCTCTGATTAGGGACCCGCACTCTGTTTTTGGAATACTCCATTATACAAAAGCACTATAAAACTTTAAGGTAGATGTTTCTAGGTTTTTCATATTGTTATCGAAAAAATCTTCAAAGCTCTCATTAATGATCCTCCCTTGATGATTATTACGAAACCTATGAGCTAAGACGCCCAACGGTACCCTCATTCGTAGGCTCCTACGTGAATGTTACGTGCTAAATTAAAAATTGACTTAACCCAATAAAAAAGCTTTTCTCTATGGTCATTAGTATTTAGGCTATTTTCTGCTCAGATATTTTTTTCCGTAGCTGAGCACTTGCAGCGATAATTTTTACACCATTAGATAGCTCGTATACTGAAGTACATTTCACACTATTTGAATCTTAAAACAGCGCATTTTCGATTTTTCGTCTAAGGTCCATGTGACTGCCCGCTGTGTGACGTACCGTCTACCCGTTGTGGATGGCGGATGAAATATTCAGCATAAGCATTGCAGGAATGGTTTCGGTCGTCAATGAATAAGTAATACGCGATTTCGAAAATTTTTTTTGAATGCCACGCGGGATACTTAAGGATATGCAAAAAAACAAGCTATTCGCGTATGGCATAATAGTTTTATTTTATTTAGCCACGGAAGTAAGAAATGGAGAAGTTCATATAAGAAAAGCTAGTAAGAGGCAATAAGCGCTTACACCCGAAGAATTATCCGATTGCACTTGGGCACGACAGTCGCCTTTTTTCAACGAAACCTGTAGTTAAACAGACACAGCAATCTTGCGGATGAATTCGTAGCATTCGTTCTCGTACCATTTTTATGAATTGATAATTTGTTTTTTATCTGAAACGTGGTCTTGACATGTACTGAAAGCGAATTGGTAGCGGTTGGTCGTAAGAGGCAGGTAATAGATTAGCTAGTGGCGAACAGATCGTCTAGGTCACTCAACGATATTGTATCTAAATTAGAAAGAAGAAAAACATCAAAAAAAGGAATAAGCATTATACAACAGGACAACAAATGTGTGCTAATGAATTAAAAAACTGGAAGAAAATATTAGTAATCAGAATGCACCTACTACAATTTTGATTCAATTCAAAGTTTAGTGGGAGGGAGGGGGGCTGTTCTTATTTTGTTTTAAAAAAAGCAAAACTTTTACTATTCCGTCTTAAAGCTAAAAGTCAAGTAGGATACCTTTTAATGTAACCAAATTCTTATTTAATGGAATAGGACACTTAACGATAAGTGAGATTGTTGAATATCACCCGCTATTAACATGAACAGTTAATGAGTCACGATAAATTAGACACGTGCACAGAAAGCGATTTGCTGTCAGATTCATAGTGTTTTTGCCGGATTTTTACCTTCTTTCACTTGGTGTCCATCTTAAAACGACATGATAGTCCCTAGCTCAATTTTCTATCATTAAGTGGAGTGCGATCACGAACTTTGCTCTGTTCTACTTCGAACATTCTTAATAGAAAGCGATATATAAATATATCTGATTAGATCTCGGAGGATTTAACTACGATCTGATTTGTCTCTATATTCCTTACTGTTATTGAATCAAACTTTACTTGAATGGAAAAAAGACCTAATTTATCAAACAAAAGCATCCATGAACTGAGAAATTACAAAGTAAAAATAAATAATAAGTAACATATTTCATCCCAGGTTTTCGGCAAGGCTACGTGGATCATTGGGCTCTTGTAACCAAATAAGTGTTCTGTCGAAAACATGTATTTCAAGGATCTGTGGTTTCTCAGTGACGGTAAATGAACACTGGTGTCCTTATTTTATAGGTTTACAGTGTGATGGAAATTCACTAACACTTAAGAATACACATTAAATGTCATTCAGCCGTAATCATAATATCATGAACGAAGTTAATAAAAATAATATAGTGTACAAACATCTTCTGCGATTAATTCTCGACTATACACTCTTAATTCATCAACACCGCCGGCAAAAGACGTAAATGGGAGTACACCTAAGTTTGAACACGCAGGAAAAGAAGCATATATAGCACTACCAACAGTCAAGAACATTGGTGAACCACTTGCAAAAAATTGCGATATTGAATAGGTTGCTGAATAAAGATAACCGTTAATATATAGTTTCAAACCATTAGCAACACTAAACGTTTCTACGACATGAGTCCATGTATTTAATAGAAGAATTGGACCAATTACGGACGGTGCATATGATCCCTGCCACATTTGTACCGCTATATGTCCTGATATTGTAAAACCAATAAATGGCAAACACCAGCCACCCTGACCTGAAACAAGAAAAGAATAGTTCTTCTCTTTTTTCACTGTCTTTAATAGACAGCTTATTTGAGTGCCCAGTACATGCAGTTCTTCTCTTCGACATACCTTCCCAACCCAGTGATACATGAACAATTGTTGATCCGGTTAAAACAGTCGGATTAATCCATAAGGAGATTGAAAACGATTGATCGCGCGTTCCAACTACACCAAGATTTCCAATTTGAAAATAAGAATTTGTTGATCCGGTGAATAATAATGCTTCATTAAGATGACCAGGAACTGTCATCTGGCCACTCTCGATAGCAGTTAAACCAGTTGAACCAACATAACTCAAAGGAGAAGGAGAATCGAATGAAAAATAGGCCACTAACAACGAATTATCTAATACATTCGTGCATAATGCTGTAGGTGGTTGTAAGAAACAAAATTCTGAATCAAGATTTTGTTGTAGTACATAGTTCAATGTGAAATTATCGATTAACTGACATGTATTGTTATTTGAAAAATAATTAAACCCACTAGAATTAGTAGAACTAACGAAATAACATGAGCAAGAGTTAAACGATAGAACGTTGAAGAATGTGTTAGTCAAACTATTCGTCGTCGCTATAAATGTGGTATTCGAAATACATCCTATCTGAATAGTAAATGACAACTGTTGAACCGAAATTAACCATATAAATAAGGATAACAACATTTTTTCCTTTTTCTTGTGTCAAACGAGTGAGCAATAATAATGAAACTACCTCTTCTACTGGTATATAAACCACGTTTGAACAAAGAAAAAAGATCTATTACATTATCATTTATTTGCATATACTACGGACGAACTGAATGAAAGGTTTTTTTCACTCGTTTCTTTTTCATAAATTAATTATTTAATTTAAAAGCAATAAGAACAATAATAACATTTTGAAAATGACAGAAAGAAGTGTTAGAATTATGAACCAATTCGGCAGCATTGCATTAGAAAAAACATCACAAACACTTTACCGAGTACTTACGTCATGCAATGTGGGAATAAACATTCTTCAATATAAAACTATTATTCAATTTTATTCTTTCATAAGTCGTCTGAAATTTAAAGTCTTACACGTTCTGCGTCAAGGGCGAATGGTACAAGAGTTGAAAAAAGATAGTTTTAAATCTTAGTTAGTAATCGTCCCATAGCAATTTGTTCTAGCCGATTCCCAAGATACCAATGACAACCATGTGTAGAATCTTAGTCCAGCCAGTATCGGTAGCTTTTGGAATATTACAGCTTTATTGAAGTTGATGCAGAAGAGAATTGTGTCTCCCGCGTGGTCTAGTGGTTAGGATTTGACGCTCTCACCGTCAAGGCCCGGGTTCGATCCCCGGCACGGGAACTTATTTTTGTATTCTTTTCCTTTCATCTTGTCTTTCTTTTCATTCGTCTTTTTTGCACTAGTGATCACTACAAATCCAGATTCTTGGGCAAGTTTTGTCAAGAATCTCGTCTCTTCTAAAATTAGTCAAGGCGCTTTTTAGATCGCTTTACATTATAAGAATCTGTGCAGAGTATTAAGTCTGAACAATTCGCACGATATCGACAATCGTAACCAGTATTCTAGGTAGAATGATCTGTCAAAAGTCTTGGTCAAAACTAGTGGCCAAGACGCAACGGGTCTCGTCTACAGATAGATCTACGAAGAGTCTCGAAGAAGACTTTAGAAAAAATCTCCAAGAGTGTTAGAATCGATCTGATAGTTGCCACACCACGCACTGTTGGGATGGTACCAGAGAACAATTATAATAGTTTTCAACCATATTTCCAAATAGATCATATGCCAAAGTGTATTTGGTAAACGTTTGACGGTCTCCGATGCTTTCGTTTTCAATACAGACGCCTTGAAAGTTGCAATTTTGCCCAAAAATGACCATTTTGAGCGATTTTGAGAAATGATTTTCT